GAAGAATGAGGGGTTTGCTAACTCTTAATTCCTTTTAATGAAATTTATACCCAAGCATTCCCATTTTGCCCTTACTCTTCTTTGGGAATTCTATCTATATCCTTTGATTCATTACAAACACACCCCCATATCAACATATTCTCCATGAAAAATCCTTACAATTAACTCCATACTTTTCCTGCTAATTAGGGGTAGAATGGTCAAATTGCCCTTAGGGAAGAAAATATCTAAAACTTAACAAACATTTTGGTCGGCCTGTCGCCGCGGCGAAGAAGCTTCTGTCGCCGCGGCGAAACTGTCCAGAGAGTTTCCCCGTGGTTTCAACACCTCTTTGCCGCGGCGAAGATTCTTCTTCACCCCGGCGAAGCTTGGCACACTAAACTTCTTCTATTTTCAACCAATTTCAGGGCAAGCATTCAACACACAGTCAATCAAACAATATTACCAAACACCAACTCAAATAAGAGCAAAAGAAGAAACAATAACTACGTACCTCAAGTGGGGCGTTACATTAGTCCACTAGCAGACAGTCTCTCTGAGATTTCCTTCATCTTTTTCACATAATCTCCTACATTTAAATTTCCCTTTTGTGTTGTCTAAAGTAAATTCTTGAGATGTAATGCTCTAGCCTTTGAATCAGTAATGAACTCATGTTCTAACGCAAACCATATCTCAGTGGAGCTTCTACATTTTGACACATACCTAAACATGCTTTTTGAAATCAATGCCAATAACCAGCTAACTAAGAACTTATCAGTTCTTTTCCACATTATATAGGCAGGATTCAATTTTTCATTAACTGAAACACTACTTGCCCTAACTTCACCACTAGATTAACTCATGCTCAATTGTTGAATCAGAGATTATAAGAGGTGAGGGACATGAAACCCTACCAAGTAGATGATCTTCAAGTTCATGAGAGCCAACTGTGGACAACACCTGAGAGCTCCAAAAACGGTAACTACTTTAAGTTAGCTTCGGATTTATGACCTAAAGGCTAGTAGTAAGAGTTGGAGTAGCTTGATTTGCTTGTTGCTTCAACATCTCGTTTGAGTCGTTGAGCACATCAGAGGATTTTCCAGAATTCGCCATTGATACCATGTAAGTTTGCAATTGAAAAGCAGAAAATTGACAAGAAAATTGAAAACAGAGAGAAAGAGTAGGAGCAGAGAAGATATGCTTTTCACTGCACTTTTCGTTAATAACAAAGTAAAGTAGCTATTGTTTTACATATACAAATTTTCAGTAGACTTCTACACTCTAAACGATTGTGTTTTGACTCTTTATCATTTGAGTTAAAAATGGTAGCGCATTTGTCCAACAGTGAGGTGCTTCAATATTCTCTTAAAGGAAATGTTGCCTATTTAACAAATTCTAACTAAAAGATTAAAGAAAGACTAGAATGTAGTTATGACTGGCGTTAATAATTAATTAAGTTGGTTATTACTTAATAATAGAATATGTTTAATTAAAAAGAGTATGTTTAAATGACACATGCATCCATGACTCAAATAGATGACGAATCTGATCTGAGGTCGGCCTTTATAAAATTAGAAAGTGACAAATAATACTTAAATGTTGGTGAGAGAGAACAATTAAAAAACATTCCCTTATAATACAGTTGTTTACAATTATGGAACACACTCCCATTAGCAACCCTTTTATCATTATAATTTCTTTTTTCTATTTTTAAGATTTATTTTCCTTCATTTTATTCAAAGTTGAGAGCAACAGTCAATGTTTGATTTCTGGAAATGAATGAGAATTAATCTTGGATTGTAATATATTTTAATCTAAAAGTTACGAAAACGAGATTAAAGTTAGCCACCATTGTCATGTTATAATGTTAAGATGAAATGGATAAAATTATAAAGGCATGTGGAATAGAATGGAAAGAGTGATGAAATAAGATTCCATTTTTATGTCTTGACATGAAATCTTTAATACATAAAAAGAAATATATTAATTATAGAATAGTTAGGTGAAGTTGTCTTTTAAATTCCCTACTAGAAAAAATCTCATCCTTGACAGATTTTCTTGACAGTTTTTGAACTGGAATCTAAAATATTCCTTGATATTTTGGATGATTCTTAACCATTATTAATATCAAGAATTTGGTAAAAACTAAATTTCATGAATTTTGTTCTTAACAGTTATAGTCTTAATCATTGACAATTTTGAACCGTCAAACATTAAGTTATAAAAATAAAAATAAAAGAACCCTAAAACATTTGCTTACCCGGTATTTCATTGAGGCAAAAGTTTCCCACCCATTTTTCATTAAGACAAAGTTTCCACAAACTCACTGTTTAAAAAACCGGTTTATAATATACAATATTAAAAATATTGAAATAAAAAAATCCCTAATTAACTTTGTTGACTTTCCTTTAAAATTTTCATTCTCTTTACCCTAAATTATTTTCCCCTTTTCGTTCTCCACATCTCGTTCAACTTTTCTCTTCGATTCTTCATTCTTAGCTAAAATCCATCTCCGATCTTCTTCATTCTCACCTGATTATAAGACAAACTCTGCTCTTCGAGTCTGTGACTTCAGCCACTCACCATTTCGTCATTCTTGAAGCTCTTTTCGTGCTGCCTTCAGGTAATCTTCGTCATTGCTTTACATGATAGTTGTTTTGTGGATTAATTGAAGAAGAGATCCTATTCTCTGGATGTTTGTAAAGATAGAGGAACAGTGAAGAAAAGAGTAAATGCAAAAAAACAGAGTATGGAGACTACGTATTTATATTTCTTTCTATCGGAAAATTTTTCATGTATAGAACCTTGATAATGGTTACAATTTATACACAAACACTTGATCTTTCACACAATCTTCTCCGTTGAACTTATTCTTTCAGCTATCATCCTATGCCAATAGATCTGCAACTTGCTCTGCCACTTGCAATTTGTTAGAGAACACGCAGAGTGTTGAATTGGAAACTGGCACCAAAAGCCAACTTGCTTAAACTAATTTTTTATTGTAAAATGACTTAAAAACCTGCATGAGTTTGCTTAATGTTGCAGCTTGCTTTGCATGGCTAACATCGTTAACAATGTTAAATTTAGTTAATACTTTGACATGTCATTGCATGGTATCATTTTGGGTCACCCAAGACTCAAAGAGAGTGGTGATTATCAGTTTTTACACACTTCGTTGTAGTTTAACTAGATGGTCAACAACAAATGTAGTTCCTTAACTCATTGATTCAACTGCAATCCACCTTATTCTAAAACCCCAAGTATCTTTTTTGAAGCCCTCTTTTGGTAAAAGTATGTTTTAAAAGCTTCTTAATCTTAAATGTTAAGAGCAATTTTCTTGTTCTTTCAATGCAGGAATATTCTAATTATAAAATATTAATCGGATAAAATTTGAGCCCCACATTAATCCATCTAGTGATAATGGGATTTATAAACGGTCGTTGTTGCATATAGGGGTGTTCAAAAGAACCGGTTGGAACCGGAACCAGCGGGTACCCTGAGTTTGGTTCCGGTTCCTACCCAGAACCAATCGTCAATGGGTAGGTTCTGGTTCCAAATTTTTGGAACCGTTAATGTGCGGTTCCGGTTTCGGTTCCTATAGTTAGGAACCGGAACCAGGAACCAGGAACCAGGAATCGAGACTAATATAAAATAAAATTAAATATTAGGGGGGTTAATAAAAACTTTTGTAGAAAAAGTAATGTAAATACATTTATATTTATATTTCATAAAATATAAAGTAAGTTGGTTTGAATTTTGAGAATCTACCTTTACAAAGTAATGGAGTTTGTAATTTTGAATTTGTAATTTGTAATTTTATTTTTGTTAACAAATGCCAGGTAGGGGGGTATTTGTAAGTTTTTAAGGGTTTTTTTATCATTTTAAAAACTTTTGGGGGGTCATAAATTTTACAGGGTACCCAGAACCGGAACCGGAACCGTTGTTACAGGTTCTGGTTCTGGGTATCTAGGAACCGGAACCGGAACCGTTGGTTCCGGTTCTAATTCCAAATTTCAAGGAACCGGAACCGGAACCGTTGGTTCCGGTTCTAATTCCAAATTTCAAGGAACCGTCGGTTCCGGTTCTGGTTCCTTCAAAAAGTGTAGGATACCCGGAACCGAACACCCCTAGTTGCATATATATCAAGATTCCTCCTTCATTAATCTGCATCCTCCAAAAGGAAGTAATCAAAAGATTAGCCGCCATAATTAAATAAAGGTACAATTAAGTATAGGAATCTCATTTCGTAGATATGTATATATTATTTCTCATGTAATAGTGACTGATTTAAAAGCTATAATGATTTTAATTGTGACTCTAATGATTACAGATATTACTATGAATATAAAAAACCTTATGCTATGCGTCTACTTTTACTTTTGTGTGTGCGATTACAATCTTTGGAAGATAAAGGATCTAGTAATATTATATAGCATATATTAAAAACAAAGTCCTTGTATTATTAGAATAACGACAAGCTTGAAATGCAAAATTACACTAAAAGTAGAAGGTGGATCTAATACAAGAAATCAAATTACTTGCATTATGGGACATATGGTTTGTACGACACTTAACAACAAGATTATAATTGCTGCAATAGTTGCTGTGCCTCTCCAAACATTGTTGAAATACACACTCCTCAACTTTGCCTTGGTTTTGTTCCAAGGATTGTTATAGTGTGCCTTCAATTCCTCGCAAAGGTTATACTAACAAGAATTACTTAAACAAATTTGAGAACAAAGTTTGTTAAACATATTAACTACCGAAGCATTATCCCCCAAATGATTGGAAATTATTCCCTTTCCAACAAGCAAATCCACGTCTCTCTCAATATTTATAAGACGATCTATCATATCAACGTAATTGCAAATCCGAGTATCAAATGAGTAGTAACACTGCTTCAAAGCCATTATGTTTCTAAATAAATATTCTGTCTCGTCTCTTACTTCCAAAGATGGTATTTGCAATTGGCCATGAATGGTGAACAATAACCATTTTCTAAATCTTATGTCAAGTAAATCTTATCTTTCAATTCCCATAAAATTCACCCTTGACTCACGTAACTTCATTGCACAAAGTAAACTTCCAATATTTACATTTGAATTCACTCTCGAGTCACTCCGACTATTAGAAAAACAACCTTCCTTGATTAGTAGAACGCTTCTTCTCAAATCGGCGAAATTTTTAACTTCCATAGGCGAGCTGGGCAAGCTCTTGAACAAGTAGCCCCTTAAGAACTTATAAGAAAGATCCATGAAGGAAGGATTGTCAGCAATGCCAAGGCCAACAAAAGCTAACTTATACACTTTCTTGAGGACAAAGTATGGAAGTTGATTTTCAAGTAGCTGCAAATCGAATTTTAAAGCATTATGCACAGCAGGTATATTTCGCAAAAGATCACTTGTATCACCTTTGTGATACCTCCAAAGGAGCTCAACGATGAAAGTTGCATCATCTAGAATCATCTTTACAAACTCATCCCTTGGAACCATGAACGTCTCAGCATAAAAATTACGAATACATTGTTCCTTGTTCTTTACGAAGGCTGAAATTTCCTCCATCTTGATCATAGTTATACGTTTAAGGAAACTTTCCACATATCTTGGTTGTTGCTTCTCAATTTCAGCTAATTCTTCTTTACCATGATGAAAAGGGCCTATTGAAATCAATTTAGGAGTGTAAGCTCCTTCCTTTACTTCTAGAATACATTGAGGAACCCTGAAAATACAATACCCATGATGAGTCGGCTCCAAGTTATCCTCAGTGTCAATATGCCACTCTCTCCTATTATTCTGATCCTCAATGGAAGCACTTATCTCCAGGTTCATTGTCCTAATTATGACAAATAGAGAGAAGTCGCTAACAATGAAGTTAATAATTAAGATCAACTAGCAAAAGAAAATCATTAATTGCCTATTGGTTTTACTTGAAATCATTTTCAAAATTTTAAGCAATCTCTCATATATATCACAAACAAATTGTATGTGCTCACATGAGCAATATAAATCTGTCGCATGCGGCCTGTAACAAGTTTAGAAAAAAGGTAAATCCATGTGGCATTTGATTTGACAAATTATTTTACTTATTTTTTCATCCTAGAATTAAGACAAGGTTGCCAAATTAACTATCACAATGAGTTGGAATACAAAGTTGAGATTGATATAATTTAAGATGGGTCTGACTCCTTACCCAATAAGGCCTTGTTGAATGGAAGGATTATCCCTTTTTATAACCCAGTTGGTTTGAGCGTACCTAGTCGGTGTAAGACTCTAATACTCCACCTCATGGTCAAGCCCATATGTTGGATCATGCCGGTAGTTGTTGGCTCTAACTTCTCACCCGCTGGTCAAATATTTAGCTCAACTAAACATGGGCTCTGATACCATGATAGAATTTAAAGTGGGTCTGACTCTTCACCCAATAAGGCTTTGTTGAATGGGAAGATTACCCCTTCTTATAACCTAGTTGGCTTGAGCGTGCCTAGTCGGTGTGAGACTTCAATAGAGATCCCAATGTTATTTACATAGCATTATTGTATGCTTAATTATCATGATAGCACAACATTATATGAAATTGACAATTTATGATGATATTAAAAAAAAAAAATAAACCCCTCTTAAAAGTAATGATACCAGTTATAATCAATCTGGAGAGGGAAAAAAAAAAGGATTGATATAATCAAATAAATCAAGAAGTATATTTATGTTGTTTTTGTTCGAAAAAATAAAAATAATGTTAGACTTAATCTCCTATGAGATTTTGCTAAAAAACAATAAATGAGATTAAGATTCTTTACCCTTTGTTAGTAATTAATATATTTAATGAATAATACCAAACTTCTCAAATGATATCCCAATTATGTTTTCCATTACAAGTAATGTGTTGTCAGATGTGACTTTGTTATGTAGATGAAGAGTTAAATATCAACACCACATCAGACAATACATCATCTAGGATGAGAAATTTGAAATAATAACTGAACATCTTAACTATAAAATGCTAATTATGGCAACAATAATAGAAAGAACATATATTCTTAGGAATCTTCCTCATATTTTATGGTATATTTCTGTTGACCAAACATCACCTTAAAGTATAACTAAAATTTTATAAAATGAAAATATGATGATATTAAAAATTAAAATTAAAGTGTTTGTGAACCTGAATAGTTGAGAGTTCCAGAGCACCTTCTAGTTCCAGAGACCTTCCTCCTCTCGGATATCACAGCTCACAGCGATTTCTTATCATTTGTGGTATTTCTCTCTCCCTTACCTCTCTTTGATAATGTGTTTGCTCTCTTCTTTCCTTTTTTGTCCGCATATTAATCCAACGGTTAAACGAAGACTACAATTTTGGTCAAGCATGCAAGGAAAGAAATGAGGATTTCTTATACGTTGGTTTAGATAAAGAGCAATACTACTCTTACAAAGACAAAAACAAAGAGGCCATACAAAGACAATTTCCACCCTTCATCTTCATGATTTCTCTCTCTCTCTCTCCCTCTTTTTCCGTTTTTTCTTTGTTTTTTCCTTCCTAGTGATGTTACTTTGTAGCTCTCTTTGTATTGTCTTTGTAAGGATAACATTTTTCTTAGATAAATCCTCAAATGAAAGTAATGCTAATTCCTTTTTTTGGTTCTTCAACTAACCAAGGAATAAGAATGAACTTCAAGAATCCGTATTCCTCTTCATACAGTATGAATCGTACTTTATGTAAAAGGAATCTGTAAAATAATGTAATCCCTGAAACGCCCTTGTAAAAATAAATTATTTAATTAAAAATGCAAAATGACAAATCAGTTAGAAGGTTTCAATTTAACTTATTTACACTAGATCGATGGTGGGTCTAATACAATTATTAAAGACCAATTGCATGATAGAATCGTATGATTTGTATCGCAGTGAGCAACATGAATAAAATTAATTGCCGCAACAGGTGTGCCTCTGCGGTATTGCTGAAAAACAATCTTCAAATTTGCCTTAGTTTCGTTTCAAGGATTGTTATAGTATACTTTCAGTTCCTTGCAAAAGTTATAATAACAAGAATTGCTTAAATAAAATTTATCTACAAATTGTCTACTTCAGCATTAATGTCACACTCAAAAGATGGGAAATAATTCCCCTTCCAAAGAGCAATTAAATCTAATTATTGTTTTATCATAAAAGGATATAATTAAAAAAAATATTTGTTTTAATAAGAAATTAAGAACATTGCGCGCAAAATGATTGAACCCGTTATTATCAGAATGACAAGCTGATCAAATGCAACTATCACAATCAACAAGGCGTACAACAAGCAGATCCGCTGGTAGCTTCTATGCCGGTAAATATGGTTTGTACAAGAGCAAGCACCAGCGCTAAAAAGGCTATAAAAGTTCCGGGGACTTTCAAAGGATCAACGACCCGACGTATAAAGGCTTCCCTGATACGGTTGCAACGATTCTTATAGTGCTTTTCAGATCCTCGCAAATGCCGTAGTAAATAGAATCTCTCTTACGAATTTCTGAGGAAAGTCTGTTAAACATATTTGCTACTGAAGCAAAGTCTCCTAGAAAATTGCTTATTATTTCCTCATCAACAAGCAAATCCACATCTTTTTTAGTATTAATAAGACTATTAATTAGCTCAATGTAAGAAGAAACCAGTGCATCATCTGGATAGACACATTGCTCCAAAGCCATCAGGTTCAGAAGTAACTTTTCTGTGTTCTCGTATAGTACCAGATTTGGTATTTTCAGTTCAGCCCTTTCACAATTCAACCATGGGAAAAGTCGATCTTCAAATCTTATGTTAAGTAAACATTTTTCTTCACTACGTTCAAACTTCACTCCCGACCTGCGCAGCTTCGCTGCAGAAGGTAAATCTACAATTTTACCAGTTCGCATCATGCAGCATTTCTTGTAACCTTTTAGCATAACACTTCTTCTGGAATCAGTGAAATGTTTAATTTTTACTGTCGGATCAGGTAAGCTACAGAACGAGATATCAGTACTGCTGAAGAAACGAAAAGCAAGATCCATGAAGGTGGGGCTAAGAATACTTAACTTATATATATCCTCAATCACGGAGAATGGAAGTTGATTTTCAAGTAATTGCAAGTCCACGGATAAACCACTTTTCGTTGCGGGTACTCTTAGCATTAAATCGCTTGTCTCCTCATAATTCCTCACGAAGAGTTCGATGATGAAGATAGCATCAAGTAAAATCATACTTTCAAATTCACACTTCTTAATCTGAGCAGTGCTACCTAGAAAAAAAGCACGAATACGTCCATCGTTGTCTCGGATGTAGCTTAAAATTTCTTCCTGTTTCTCTGTGCTAATTCGTCGAAAAAAACTTTTCTTGTACCCCCCTTTCTTTTGTTCCATGTCGGTCAATTCTGATTTACCACGGTGGTGAGGACCTATTGAAACTAATTGAGGAGTGTAAGGATCTTCTTTTTTAGCAAGGTTGATAGGACCTGTTGAAATTGATTGACGAGAGTAAGGTAGAGATGCTTCTTCAACTTCACAAGCGTAGGCAGGAACTTTTGAATCTAATTGAGGAGTGTAAGTTTCTTCCTTGGTTTTACGAATACTTCTAGGAATCTTTAAAATAGAAGAATCAGGAATAGGCTCCAAGCTTTCCTCCATGATAGGTGGCTCTGTATTCGTAAGACACTGATCTTCAAAGCAACCACACGTGAAACGCTAATCTTCAAAGCAACCACACATCTCCGTTGTCCTAATGGCACCAAAAAAGAACAGTAATTACTAACAGCAAAGATAAAAACAACCCTCAACTTAATTATATAAATCATTTTGTATAAAGCAATTAGGAGTTTTGAGATATTGTTCCAGATCCCTATATATTAATTTCACATAGAGTTAAGGACTTTTTCTGACCCAAATAATGACTTAATGATACTTTCCTATCCAAGACTTTTAAAATATCACTTTATTACCCAAATTTATATTCTAGCGGCAAACAGAGAGCACACTCGGTCCAGGTTATTAGGGTTTTTGAAGAGGGAAAATCGATGAGTCTTTTGATGGTGGAAGGTTGGATTTTAATGGTTGGAACTGATCAGAATTTGACTTGGAAGGGCAGCTGTGCAAACCCTAATCGCTCGATTGAGGGTGATTGGCTAAGTCGACGAGAGTGGAGTTTGAGGGTTATGGTGAATGATGATTGGAGAAGAAAATGGTGGCGGGGTGGGGTTGCAAAGATGTCAAAATCAGAAACAGAATTAAAATTTAGATAATAAAATGATATTTTAAAAGTTTGTAGGTGGAAAAATGTCATTAAGCTATTATTTAGGTGGGAAAAAGTCGTATACTCTTTCACATATGTAGGGAATAAATAAAACAGTACATATATAAAATTATAAATTACGATTAAATAGAAAAACAGCAATATATAGTATTATAGTCCAAAGTAATATATTCCAACTAAATAATAAATGATAAATGTATTTAAAATACATAGTACACTAAACTATACCATGTAGAAACCTAAAATCTAGATTTCAACTCTGACATGAAAGAATTTGCTTTTCCATTTCTGTCACTAGAAGATAAAAATCTTGCGCATAAAAATTAAAGTCACATTTTGAAATAAATCAAAACTTTCATATAAGATATATAAGCCGACCGAAACTATTGCCATTGCTAATTTAATTACTCCCGTATATAATAAGGTCATGTTAACTTTGGTAATTTATTTCACAACCCAACTTACTGTCGATAACTCAGCCTGCTCTTTTTTTTTTTTTTTATTTAAAAATAAAAAATAATAGTTGTCTTGGCTGTAGCACAGTACTAGCAAGCCATGAGCCTCCGTTTTTGTGTTCCGCCATTGTATTTGACGTGTTATTGTACTTATGCAACTCATTAAAGATGTCCACATGTAGTGCTTATTTTCACAGCACACTTAAATAGAAAATGTAGGAAATTATACTTTTTGGGAAGTGTACATGCAGTGGTATTACTCTCAAAATGAATGTTATGAGATATTCTATCAAGTCTACTAATTAATATTAATATTAATTAATTTTTCTACTAAAAACATTGATGGATTTTGCGTTGATATTTACATGTTGTGATCTAAAAATATTTGTTAATTACCATCTAATCGAGAGAGAGAGAGAGAGAGAGAGAGAGAGAGAGAGAGAGAGAGAGAGAGAGAGAGAGAGAGAAGAATGTTCTATCAAGGGAAAAAAAAATGCTCATCATGATGACACTATTTTATTGATGCGTGCGTGTCATGGTTAATATATTTCTTCCAATCAAATTGTTGGATGATGGCTTGAAACGCCGTCGTATTTGCACTTAAGAGGAACGACGTCGCTTTGATCTAAATGACAGAAACAATCCTGAGCGTTGATGAGAAGAAGATCCAACGGCTGAAATTCAACCCTAATGTCAACCATATAAAAGCAGAATTATTTTGGCAGTTTATGCATTCGATTCAGTTTTCGTTTACAAGTCTCTCTCTTCTTCGTTAAAACACCATTGTTGAGCCTTTAGGGTTTTTCAGTTTGGGTTGAGTGGTTCCTGTAACTTGGTTGTTGAGTGACTGGTCAGGTCATTCTGGGTGTATTGTATACGCTGTATTTAGAGATTCGAAGGGTGTAATCTCTAGGGTTAGTTACGGGTTGAAGAAGGGGTTTATGAGGGATTTGTGTTGCTGAGTTTGTAATCTGTAATCTTGACAGTATTAGTGCAGCGAGCTCGTGTGATTCTCGAGTTCAACGTGGACGTAGCTTGCCCAATCATAGAGCAAGTGAACCACGGTAAATCTGTTGGTCTTGTGTGTGATTCTTGTTCTTGATTTGTTGCTGTTGTTGGTTGATTCTTTCTGTGAGTAGTTATAACAGTGGTATCAGAGCCATCTCTTGGAAGATTAGGGTTTCTTGTTGTGAAATTAGGGTTTCGCGAAATTAGGGTTTCGTGAAATTAGGGTTTCGAAATTAGGGTTTCAAAATTGGGGCTTTTTCGAAACTGTGATTCCTTCTAGTCTCCAATAGGATCTAGGGGGTCAAATCTTGGTTTAAATTCAAAAGGTATATAGGCTGGAAACTAGTAACAGCCTTAAAAACTGCCCGACAGTAATTGGCAAATTCTGGTGTAACAAAGCCACGTACCTTCTTAGATTCTTTGTTGTTTTCTTTATTTTCATTATATTGTAATGAGTACCACTCGTATGGAGATCTCCCAATATGATGGGAAGATCGATTTTGGGAGTTGGAAGAAAAAAATGAAAGCATTACTTTCCCACAACAAGGTTGCTATCGCACTGGAAGAGGACTCCGAAAAATGGCCAGAGGAGAAGTTGAAAAAGAAAGAGGAGATCAATGAGGAGGCATACAATCTGATAATCATGAATCTGTCTGACAGCGTCCTCCAGAAGGTAGATTGAATTGAATCACCGATTGAACTCTGGGGTAAACTCACTACCTTGTATGCTTTGCAATCTGCCCCCAACCTAGCTTTTCTAAAGGGGGCTTTATTCTCTTATAAAATGGATAGTGCTAAAAGTATAGATGAAAACTTAGATGAGTTTCTGAAAATGACTTTGGTTCTAAAAGGGACAGATCAAGCCTTAGGAGAAACCAGCTTAGCTATGATTCTATTGAATTCCCTGACTGAAGACTACCAAGTAGTCAAGAATGCCCTACAGTACTCTGGTACTGTACCAAACCTTGACCTGATAACAGCAGGACTTAGGGCTAGAGAATTAGAATTGAAAACTCAGAAACGGAATGGCACAAATCTATTTGTTAAGAGTAGACCAGAACCTAGTCACACTGGCAAGGGAAATCAGAATAATCAGGGGGTTAGAAATAAGAAAAAATGGAAGGGCAGTAACAAGCATAGAGGAGAGTCCAGAAAATGTTTCTTTTGTAATAAAACTGGGCATCTTAAAAAGAACTGTTTTGAGTGGATTAAAAAGCAAAAACAAGAGAATACTGAGAATAACCTAGCTACTACTAGAAACATGGTAGAGGAGCCTGAAGTCCTTACTGTGTCAATGAATGACACTGGTGAAGAGTGGGTGCTGGACTCAGGCTGTTCATTTCACATGAGCCCTAGGAGAGACTGGTTCCAGGACTTTGAAAATGTTGAAAATGAAACTGTGTACATGGGAAACAATAATGCTTGCAGAGTAAAAGGGGTAGCCACTGTGACTCTAAGGGTTAACACAGGAAAAGTGGTAAGGACTACTAGGGTCAGATACAATACCAGAACTTAAAAGAAAATTGATATCCCTAGGCACCTTAGATGAATCAGGATGTTGTACAAAGCAGAACATGGATGCTTGAACATATATAGGGATAACAACTTGATACTGACAGGAGAGAAGAGAAATGGCCTTTATATCCTTTGTGGAAATTATTCCCAAAACTGTTTTAACTCGTGATTACTTCTACTAACTTGTCCAATACAGAAAGTGGCACCTTAGATTAGGCCACATGAGTCAAAGGGGCATGGACATTTGAAGAATAAGGGCAGTTTGGAAAGGACAAGACCACTTCCCTCGATTCGTGGAGAACTATGTTCTAGGGAAACAGCACAGAAATAGCTTCACCAAAGGGATACACCTAGCCACTACCACTAGAATACATTCACTCTGACCTTTGGGGACCTGGAAAAGTGAAGTCTTATGGAGGGAATAATACTTCAGTCTGGTGGAGACATAGCCGCAAGGTGTGGGTATACTTGCTGAAAACCAAGATCAGGCCCTAGCTAGGTTTAAGGATTGGAAAACCTTAGTAAAAACCAAATGGGAAAAAAGGTGAAGGTTCTCAGAACAGACAATGGGTAGAATTCTGTAATCAAGAATTGATAAGTTTGTAGTGACCAAGGGGTTTTAAGACATAGGACAGTGACATATACCCACAACAGAATGGGTGGCAGAACGAATGATAGAACCCTCCTTGATGGTTAGGTGCCTGTTAATAACCTCAAATCCCCACCTCATTTTGGGGAGAAGCTCTTACAACAGCTGTTTACTGTAAATAGAACCCATCTACTGCAAACTTAAAGAGCCCTGAGGAAATGTGGACAGGTAGGTCTTAGCCTTAAGCCACTTGAGAGTTTTTGGGGTGCAGCCTATGCACACACCACAGGAGGCAAATTGGAACCAGGTCAACCAAGTGCATATTCCTGGGGTATCAAGAAGGGACCAAAGGCTATAGACTCTGGGAAAGAGATGCTTCAGGGTTAAAATCATTGGTGAGAGAGATGTCATATTCAATGAGGGAGTTTTTTTGTAAGGAAACTAGAACAGGAACTGACCACATGTCAAGAACAGATGATCCCTTCACCCAACCTTAATACACTAATTGAGTGGAGCTACCTGTCCAAAACTCAAACCAGCCAAGAAACTGGAGCTGCTACGAACATGGAGAAGAAAACTGGACAAACATGCCAGAAACATGAGGATGAGATAGAAACAATACTTGATACTGAGATCCAACCTGAACACTTGCAAGACTACCAGCTTGCAAGAGCAGAACCAGAAGACAGGTAAGGGCACCCATGAGATATTCCTATGCTGACCTATATACACTGCCCTCCTTGCAGGTACTGAAGTACAAAGAAGAGAACCAGATACCTATGAGGAAGCCATGCAAACAAAAGAAAGTGAC